ACAATATGACTGACAAATAATGTACAACTGAAATTTCACAAGGTTGTAAACTATCACAATCTCAATAAAAAGTAAAAAAAAAAAAATGCGCCTTTAGACGTTGTTTCAGAACTGTTGAGCAAGGTACAAAAATTCTAATAATGCAAAATGTCAACCTGAAGCCAGGAAAAAGAGAATATTTCCAGATGAGTGCTAAACAGTTTCATTGCTCTAACCCAAATCCATGCCCCAATTCAGCAAGAAGTAGCTAGATCAGTCATTGCCCTGAATCCCTCAAGAATGAGGAATGACCAAAGAATAGGGGGGATTGAAACTGGCAAACAGTTAGCCATTAATGATTAAGTAGCTAGTAGCTAAAGTTTTTTTTTTCCTTTCGGAATTACTGATTATAGTGTTTAGTTGTTCCCATGCCCATTGTAAACTGTACTGCTTAGGCAATATGCTATCTGACTCCCACTAGGTTCCCATAGATAACATCTCCCTGGAGCCTGGGTCACCATGGTAATGGGTGTTTGAGCTGTTTTTCAGGAATTAGAACCCCTTGTACACTTCAGGTCAGTTGAGACCACCAACCCATAAACTGGGCCCATGCAGATGTGTAAGAAGTGACAATTTGACATGAAGAGCCTAAAAACTCCACCCTCAGATCATGCTAACACTACCATTTTGTGAACATGCGTCCTGTGAAGAGGCGTGAAGTCTGACTACGCTTGTGCAGATCGTCAATTACCTCACCTCTCCTCACCTCCAATCATCTATCTCCACATTTCAGACCACCTTGTCTCCCTACTCCATAAATATCCCTGAGTCCCCATTTTCAGGGAGGCAGATTTGAGATTCATTCCCCTGTTTCCTCACTTGACTGCCTTGTGATTAAACCCTCTCTCTAGGGCAATCTCATCATCTCACTGTTTAGATTTCTGAGCAATGGGCAAAAACGAACCTGGTTTGGTAACATTCTGCTGTGTATACAGGAACAAAAACCTTCCTGAACCATGGTAACACAGCTTAGCTACCTACTAGAAATGGGAAACTAGGAGAATATGCAAATAACAGATGGAATTAATATTTAATGAACTCTTTTACTATATGATAATCATGGAAGAAAAGTGGAAAGGTCCTTTTTTTTCTCTTGGAACCTCACTGAATGAATCCAAATATATTGAGAGTCTGTACCATTCTGATCTCACAGATTCATAAAGGTATTTCACCTATTGCCATTTCCCAAAGTATAACAGTGTGAAGATCTGCCAGTAGTGTAGCAAAGGCTAAAGAACAAGTGATTTCTCAAAGTTTGAGTACAGTACTTGGGAGAAAAGATCTTTGTCCTAAAGATTTCTTAGGGTTTAACTTAAAACCTAGCCTTCATACCATGACAGTTTACAATGAAATCACCAATGAGCAAGAAATGGGATTAACCTCAGTCAATAGGGAATTACTAGGAGCAGTCTACTTGAAAAACTACAATTTTCTTTGCATAGCTGTACAGATTGTTCAGGAAACCTTGGAAGATGTCACAAGAGATAAAAGTAGTAATGTTAAGGTTGATCCCAGGACAACTGTACAAAACGGAGATGTCATGGCCACTTCTCTGAATAGAAGACTAGTGAAGCAGGAAATTCCAGCAGCTTTCAGTAAAAGACAGTCAATATTTGACACTGTAAATGCATAAATACTACATTTGATAAATACTCTCAATGAAGGTAGAGCATTCTAGTCAAACAAAAATAATACTAGAATAAAATTTAACCTAACACACAGTACTACTGAGAGGTGCATAGGCCTCTATGGACCAAATATGAGTGGGAATCTCAGTCCTCTTACTTTTCCTGGATAAAATCTTTCCTTTCTAGTTAAACTTTCAGAATTTCAGCCACCAAAGTATCATCTTTCTTCATATATGCAATGGAATCTCAAATGTTAAGAAAGAAAAATAATTGAGTCTGTAACTGCTGACTGTATCACAATTGTATTGTACAATATGTACATTGTATAGCTTAATATCACACTCTATGTACAATGAGCTCCCAAATATTTCCAAGAAAAAAGTAATTAAAGAATATACTCCCAGCAGATATTTACATCTGTCCGTGGAATTTTCACTGTTACTGCTACTGTATGTTAATATTGTATATATTTTAAAACTTTTCTACAAATTCAAAATCTAAAAGATAAATTTTTAAAGAAAGATATGTCATACCCTCCCCTAAAAAAAGATTATGTGAGTATTTCAGCCAGTCTTTAATTTTATGATATGTCTTTCTTACCTATTTCTGACTCAACTTAAGCAATTATGCCTAAAGTTTTAGCTGTTCTTCAGAGACCACTTTTAAAATGTACTAGTTAGGAATTACGCAAACAATATTTATACTCATTTAAATCCCATCTATGTGGATAAGTAAAGAAGTCTATTTATTTTGTGTAATTATGTTACAGATATTTTATTGAAAATGTTTTGTTTTTAACAAAGGTATATTTAGCTAAGTTACAAAGATAACTTAAAGGAGCTTGGCAGATAATTCAATTGTGATGTTCATCCTTTAGAAAAGGAATTTTAAATAAAGCAAGACAGTAAAATGTCCAAAGCAAACCAAATAGTGATACCACATTTGTGCATTATATTCTCAGTAACGTGAGAAGGAAAAGAAATTTATACACAGTACATAAATTTTAATGCTTAGCTCATTCTTAGCTTCATTTTTAAGGATAATTAGGCCAGATTTTAACTCATAAAATCTTTTAAAATGTATTGTTTGCTGACGCTGTGACCAACAATTCTGGATTAAACTATTCCCGGAGCCATCCCACTTCCCAGCAGCTCAACCTACTCCCCCTGCCTAACTCATCCAAAAAAACTCACAACTTTAAATTGTAATTCTTAATCCCCAAGTCAAAGTCTTAAAAAATAGTCAACTAGGAAACAAAATTCAAAACTCCTTGGATTAAGGTATGTGAAAACATGGTAAGAGCTGCTAGGAACAGAAGAAGTTTTTTTGTTTTTCATCCAGAGTAGGAAACCATTAAAGACTCCATGAAGAGTCAAAGACACCCTTTATTTTCTGTTCTATTTAAAAGCTTTACTGCACCTCCCATGAATGGAGCAACTGCCTTTAACATTTATTTAATGGCTCTTTACTTGCAGCAGAAATTAGAAGCATCTACCAAACAGAATGAACTGAAAGTTCATCTCAGATTTCGAATTCCCACTTCTTCCTTCTGCTCTTCAAACCTGTATCAAGAAGAAGCACCCAGGGTAAGAGCTGACTCTATGAACTAGAGTGGCTTAAGAGCAAACAACCTAAAGAAAATAAGATGAGTTCTCTACCTATCAAGCCACTAAGTGGCTCTGACCAATTCTTTTCTCCAAATGTACCTGCAATTTTGAGTAAACTCATGCCAATTGTTTTCTGATTCATAAAATAAATTAAATTCCTAATCTAGATCATCACTCCTCTGCTGGACATTTATCTGAAGACTGGGAATCTTTACATTCTGTTTTCAAAGGTACAAATATCATAAGTGTGGGTAACTTTATCACGGGGCCATTTAGGAAGGAAAAACCCAATAAAGGAGGTTCTACTGCATTCAGACTCCAAGACAAGTATAAGTTTGTATGAATTCCATCAGAGTATTTATCAGCATTATGTGCTGGAATCTAACAACTTGATTTTGAATTCCAACTCTAATATGGGAAAAACCCCAGAAGAGGAAGTAACTTAACCTCTTCCCATCTCTTTTACCTCATTCATAGGTAATACTTAGCCCACAATGTTGTAAGGATGAAACTCAATGTAATACGTGACAAGTAAGTGGCAAGCAATAGGATATATTGGAGTATATGAGGCAGCCATTTGGTGTAAACCTAATTCAGCCTGACCTTGTTTTTCCAAAAGGGGCTGACATGGCCATTGAGCATGCATTGTATATCTGCTTTAAGCATTTGCTATGTCCCAAAGACAAGAACAAATGGCCTTAAGATAAAGGTGCAACTTCCCCCACATTGGCATTTCCTTAAGGATGAGCATCTTTCCCTAGGCTAGGAACTGATTGCTGCACCTACCCTGTGACCACCTAGCTTGAGACAACAGACAGGCCACCTGCTGTGCCCACCAAGAAAACAGATGTTCAACATCCATGCCCATCTTCCTCTACCCCATACATGGGACACCTACCACAGCATGGCTTTTGCCAAGTGGTGCCATGTCTGCACCTGGGATCCACACCAGCGAACCCCAGGCCACTGAGAAGCAGAACGTGCAAACTTCACCGCTGCGCCACCAGGCCAGCCCCAGCATCTTGAACTCATATGCCAAGGAGCTGAAGGTGGGCAATTGCACACATAGGCTCAGTGACTCAACACTCTCAGGGTTGCACCTCTGTCAGTCTCTGGGCCTTCTGCTCATGTTTGTGAACTCATGGTTACAAGATAGCTTCCCTAGTTCTGACTATCACATTAGGGTTCTCTAGCCAGCCGCACCCCCTAACCCAAGCTTTCATTAAGTGGAAATATGCCACATGCTTGGCTTCAGCAGAAGCTAGAAAAATTTGTATTTAGTTTTTGCAGCTTCTATAGTGAAAATGCCCAAGGAAGAAAGGGGTGGAAATGGGTATTAGGGAAAATAACCAACAGTATCTACCATATTTCCTTTGAAGAACTTTGAACAGTACCTTAGTAGTGTTATTTAATTCTCCTACAGCAATTTTTTTTTTTTTACTCTGTATAGTATACATTTATTTTTCTCCTGAGGCTGCTTACTTTATCAGCTCCCATAACCCTCCCTGACTCTGATCTCAGCAGTAAGTGACAGCATACGTTTTTTCACAAATGCCGATTATTCTGCCTTCTCTAAAACCTGGCACAGTCACCAAAACAACAGAGGAGGCACATCCCAGGATCACCCCAAGGAAGAAAAACACCCAAATATATCCAATTGTTTTACTAGAAGCAATTTCTTAAAATTTTAATTTTGTAACAACAATTATTAAATGGAGTAACTTACATACAGTGTTTCCTTTAAATAACTACTCTGTGGGGCCGGCCCGGTGGCGCTGCGGTTAAGTTCGCACGTTCCGCTTCTCGGCGGCCCGGGGTTCGCTGGTTCGGATCCCGGGTGCGGACATGGCACTGCTTGGCAGCCATGCTGTGGTAGGCGTCCCACGTGTAAACTAGAGGAAGATGGGCACAGATGTTAGCTCAGAGCCAGCCTTCCTCAGCAAAAAGAGGAGGACTGGCAGTAGTTAGCTGAGGGCTAATCTTCCTCCAAAAATAAATAAATAAATAAATAAACTACTCTGTAATTAGTTGAGTGTGGCAAGATGTCCTGCCTGAGGCTACAAAACCTGACTCTGTGCCTTGCATGTTGCTTCTGCTAGCTCACACAGGTTTACTTAATCTTTATTGCCATCTTTTGGAGGATTTGCTTTCATATGCAAATAGGTAATACTAGGCCAATACAGCTCCTCCCTTAAAGGGTTCTGGAACCATAGGCCCTTTTCAGTGTCTCAAATGAAAAAAATAGGTCAAATGTCATAACCACCGAGCACCTCAGCCTCAGCCATGGAGGCAGTCACCTCAGAGTGCATTTCAGAAATAACAAGACAGTCCTTAGCTCAGAAAAACAACCTCCCATTTACAAGAAGAGGCCTATTATTAACGTTCCATTCTGATGGCATAAGTCTTTGAACCATGTCAAAAAGCAGGTACCACTAGAAATACTGATCTTTTAAACTGATTATCAATCAACTCCACTTCAGTGTAAATGAGTTTGAAGTGGTGTCCTATTACGATACATAATGAATGGCGTGCAGTCGTGAAGAATACAGTACATGAGACATGTGAATATCATGTCTCTGAATGTTGCCCAGCAGAGCCCTGCTGCCCAATAAGTAGACATAAGAAGACCATAATTTGGAGCTGGAACTGCCTAGGGCAGGGAGAAACCAAGCTGTGAATCCAAAGAAAATGACTAATTTGGCAGCCAAGGGGGTATGGCCACCACAGTCTGTAAGCAGCTGACATCTGGGAATCTGACCTCAATTCATCGGCCATCCCATAAGATACGCTGAGCAGTCATGGACATCTGGTGATGGCAGTGGTCAAACTGAAGGCAGAGAGGCTGACAGCTAGCACTAGAGAAATCTGTCAGCAGAGAGTGGCATCCCAGGCACCCAGTTCGAGTTCCAGAGTAGATGCCAGTCTCCAGGTCCAGGCCCATGAAGAGTAGCACAAATCTTTACCCGTAGAGTCACTGAGGATTTGAAAGTTTATTATGACAGGAAACAGATGTCAGGACAGTGTACTTCAACCTTCTTGCCTCTTAGTGAACAAAGAAAATAGGTGCAGCCACTCACAGAGTTGGCCCTGGGCCACTTCTGCAACCCTCCATCTCCACATACCAGATGGGAAGCTCCAATCAAGAGAAGGGACCAAACCCTAGTTCTCTGAATGGGGCCCAAGGGCAGAGCCAGAGGGAAGAAAGTACAGTAGTCCCCCTTATGCATGGGAGATATGTTCCAGACCCCCAGTGGATGCCTGTGTAAAAACTGACAACACTGGGGCCATTTAAAAATGGAATTGAGCTGCCTTTCCAGAGAAACTGTCTTGCTGTCTTGAACACTGGACTGAGACAAACCTTTGGACTGGGCCAAAACAGCAATTATTTTACAAGCAATTGTTTGAGAAGTCAGCAGGAGAACAGACATCCTGATCACAAATACTGAGGATTGTAGACTTTCTGAAGATCAACAGTCAATCAATGTTTAGCCAAGACTAGCTCTCTGCCTCCAACTCCAATTAAACTTCTTTGTAATATAATCTTCCTTCTTTGCCTTTAAAAGCCCCTGAACTTTACTCCCTAGTGGGACGCCATTTGGGTTTCTACTTGAATCTGTGCTCCCCGAATTGCAATTCTTTGATCCCAAATAAACACTTTGCCTCTTAAACTGGCTTATGTTTTTGTAGGTTGACAACTGAAACAACAGATAGTACTGAACCCTATACATACTATGTTTTTTCCTATACATACATACCTATGATAAAAGTTTAATTTATAAATTAGGTACAATAAGAGATTAACAATAACTAATAATAAAATAGAACATTATAACAATATGCTGTAATAAAAGTTACTATAGATCATAGCAACCTCAGCATATGATTTTTTTCTTCCCTTATTAAGTCAAGAACTTTCACCTTCTCACTTAAAGGAAGCACTTTACAGCTTCTCTTTCGTATATCCGGATTGCCAGCATCACTACTCTCATGCTTTGGGGCCAGAAGTAAGTAAAATAAGGATGTCTTGAACACAAGCACTGGGACACCATGACAGTCGATCTGATAACCCAGTTACTAAGAGACTAATGGGCAGGTAGCACATAGAGCGAATATGCTGGACAAAGGGATGATTCATGTCCCAGGCAGGACGGAGCAGGACAACTGGAGGTTTCTTCATGCTACTCAGCATAGCGTGCAATTTAAAACTTACGAACTGTTTATTTCTGCAACTTTCCATTTAATAATTCGGGACCCTTTGATCCTAGGTAACAGAAACTGGAGGAAAGCAAAACTGTGGATAAGGGGGGACTACTGTAAATAGAACCTAAAGCTCAGATTCAGAGGGTTAAGGAGGACCTAAGGTTGTGGCTGAGCTCTGAATGCAAGGCAGATGGCTCTTGTTAAGCAAAGAGAAGCCTTAAAGAGGATACTTAGCTGGGGAGGAGGGGGAGTTGAAGGATAGGGAGCAACCAGGCTTGGGTATTTTTCTGAATACCAAGCTTGCGTAATAATTTTACCTAGGCCCAGCAGCTGCAGTGTCCTTTTATTTAAAGGACATAATCATATTGTTCTAACATTCATTTACGCAACAAATATTTATTGAACCTGTATCATATGACTAGCAGAATATTCATCACTACAGATACACCCTTGAACAAAACAACAGGATCCGGTCTTTAAACTATGAGCTTAGGTTTACTGAACAAGCCTGACATTAAATAACAAATCCAAATCTTTTCTCTCTAAGAGAGAACAAGCCAGATGGCCAACTACTTTAGGTTAGGAGACCAAGAATGACCTTTCTAAGGAAGGTATTTCAAAAAGATGCAACAGAAAAACATAAGGAATTCTTTTTAAATGTGTTTAAATACCAATTTAAGCTTTAATGTTATATATTATAACTGTACATATTGTTACCTACACAAAATTGGGGTTCTCTTGCCCGATGTGCATAAAGAGCCAATTATTGCAGCATCAGCTTTTGAGAAAAGAAATAAGCTTTAAGGCAAAGTTGACTTGCAAGGAGACAGGAGGCAACAGCTGTCAAATCTGTCCTCTCGATTCAGGATTTGGGGTGAAATTTAAGAAGTTAGGAATAAATGATTTGCAGATATTTTCTCCCAGTTGGTGGGTTGTCTTCCATTTTGTTCATGATTTCCTTTGCTTTGCAGAAGGTTTTTAGTCTGATGTAGTCCCATTTGTTAACTTTTTCTTTTGTTTCCCTTGCTGAGTAGACATGGTGTTCAAAAAGATGTTGCTAAGACCAATGTCAAAGAGTGTAGGGACTCTACTTTCTTCTAGGAGTTTTATGCTTTCAGGTTTTACATTCAAATGTGTGCGGTGCAAGATAATGGTCTACTTTCATTCTTTTGCATGTGGCTGTCCAGTTCGCCCAAAACCATTTATTGAAGAGACTTTCCTTTCTCCATTGTATGTTCTTGGCTCCTTTGTCAAAGATCAGCTGTCCACAAATGTGTGGTTTTATTTCTGGGCTTTCAATTCTGTTCCATTGATCTATGTGCCTGTTTTTTGTACCAGTACCATGCTGTTTTGATTACTATACCTTTGCAGTATATTTTGAAGTCAGGGATTGTGATGTCTCCAGCTTTGTTCTTTTCTTTCAGGATTGCTTTGGCTATTTGGGGTCTTTTCTTGTTCCATATACATTTTAGGATTCTTTGTTCTGTTTCTGTGAACAATGTCATCAGGATTCTGATTGGGATTTCATTGACTCTGTAGATTGATTTAGGTAGTATGGACATTTTAACTATGTTTATTCTTCCAACCTATGAGCATGGAATATTTTTCCATTTCTTTATGTCTTCTTCAATTTCTTTCAATAATGTCTTATAGTTTTCAGTGTACAAGTCTTTCACCTCTTTGGTTAAGTTTATTCCTAGATATTTTATTCTTTTTGTTCCAATTATAAATGGGATTATATTCTTGATTTCTCTTTCTGCTAGTTCATTGTTAGTGTAGAGGAATGCAACTGATTTTTTTAAATTGATTTAGTACCCTGCAACTTTGTTGTAGTTGTTGACTATTTCTAATGGTTTTCTGGTGAATTCTTTAGGGTTTTCTATACATAGAATCATGTCATCTGCAAATAACGAAAGTTTCATTTCTCCAAAATATATAAAGAACCATACAACTCAACAACAAAAGAAGAAAACAAACAACCCAATCAAAACATGGGCAGAGGACATGAGCAGACATTTTTCCAAGGAAGATATACAGATGGCCAACAGACACGTGAAATGATACTCAACATCACTAATTATTAAGGAAATGCAAATCAAAACTACAATGAGATATCACCTTACACCAGTCAGAATTGCTATAATTACCAAGACAAAAAACAGCAAATGTTGGAGAGGATGTGGAGAAAAGGGAACACTCATACACTGCTGGTGGGAATGCAAACTGGTACAGTCACTATGGAAAACAGTATGGAGATTTCTCAAAAAATTAAAAATAGAAATACCATAAGATCCAGCTATCCCACAACTGGTTATTTATCCAAAGAACTTGAAATCAATGATCCACAGAGACTTATACACCCCCATGTTCACTGCAGCATTATTCACAATAGCCAAGATATGGAAGCAACCCAAGTGCCCTTCTACAGATGAATGGATAAAGAAGATATGGTACATATATACAATGGAATACTACTCAGCCATTAATAAAAGACAAAATTGTCCCATTTGCAACAACATGGATGAAACTTGAGGGTATGATGCTAAGCAAAATAAGCCAGACAGAGAAACACAAATACTGAATGATTTCACTCTTATGTGGAAGATAACAAATACATGAATAAGAAAGAGAACAGATTAGATGTTACCAGAGGGGAAGGGGGTTGAGGGGTGGGCAAAAGGGATAAAAGGGC